ATTTGCAGGGTGCTGTGCTGGAAGGTAACCTGCCCCTTTCACTGCCCTTAACCTTAATACTGTATTTGTTTTGGCAACATCATGATGAGGCCAAAAGTTCATTGGTCTTGCTGGTCTCAATACAATAAATGAGCATTTTGGCTGAATATGTCGTAAACTACTTTCCCATAGTTCCCCTCTTCCAATCGTGCTTCCCAGTTTTAGTCCCAAGGGAAGAAACAGGAGATTTAACATGAAATGATCTGTCATATAAAATTCATACACACACGAGGGATTACACATCTGATTTATCACACTCGCAAACAACCTGCAGTTTTCAAAGAAGCTCTCAAGTGCACTTTAAGTTAAGTCATTTTCAAAGAAACCAAAGGCCCAAATTGCAGATTCATTTTGTGGGACGTACTGATCCGCAGCAGTCTACACCCAACCCTTTAGTTACAAGTCACCGAGGGTGTCGCCTCACACCAGGACAGATGAGTTTCCATGGGAGGAATGAGGATGTCTGGCCAAATCCACTTTTCCACCTTATTAAAATGGATATTTCCAAGTTGTCAGAGGGTGAAGTCTGGGTTTTGCAGACTCTTGCTGACAGTAGGCTTCCTTTTGCCACTGGTTCAGTATCTCCTGTGGCTCTCTCTCTTCCACAGTGCGGTATAGCGGGTTCCCTCTTGGTCGTAAGCCAGCAGAGTTCTGGCAAAATGTACACTTTTTGCTTAGCAGCAAACACTAATTTACTGTGACTTGGGTCGGCAGGGCAATTCCCAAATTCCATTTGACAAAATATATAATTTGTCCCCCATCGTGTAAATGCTTGTTCATGGTAAAAGAACTGGGTGTAAAACTGCCTGGCTAAATCAGCAGTGATCTCAAGTGTGCATCACTCTGACCACCAGTCTGGAATGAAGAGTGGGCACTGAGAAGTTCAGCCTGCTAACGCTTAGCTTCAATTTAGTTTCCAAGGAAATTGAGATTCAATAATATTACATTATATCTTTGGTATGGGCACCACAGTGGTGTATGGTTAGCACATCTGCCTCACGATTGAGAGGTTCTGACTTTTAATCTTAGCCCAGGCCCTCCTGTATAGAGTTACTGTGCGAATGTGAGTTTTCTCCGCGTACCTCTGGCTTCCTTCTGCATACCCAAAAAAGGCATGGTTGGTCAACAGAAGACTCTAAATCAGTGGTTCTTAACCTTGTTAGAGGTACCGAACCCAACCAGTTTATATGCACATTCACCGAACCCTTCATTCGTGAAAAATAAAAATAAGATTTTTTTTTTACAAATTGAAGACATAAAAAATGTTAATAAAAACAGAAAAAACGTTTTTTTAACTGTGCACAAAATGAACCAGCCAGTGATGGCCAAGCGGGTGTGTCATAACTAATTGACATGTCGAGTCGGGTGTGTCTCCATGGCAGAGGCTCTGTCGAACCCCTGAGATTGATTCACCGAACCCCTATAGCAGGGGTGTCAAACTCATTTTTGTCGCGGGCCACAATGAAGCGACCGTTTTCCTTGGAGGGCCGTTATGACTGTGAAAGCATTTAAAGAAGTCAAGAAAAATGGTTGATTCAACGATTGTTGAAGTTACTGCAATGAGGGAACTGGTAACAAGAAAATGCTCTCTTATTTATTACATATGAGGAGTTGAAATTTTGGTTCAGATTTTAGCAATCATGGTAGAAGTTGACATGTCTGATTCGCTTTCGCGGGCCACACAAAATGATGTGGCGGGCCAGATATGACCCCCGGGCCTTGAGTTTGACACCTGTGCCCTATAGGGTTCGATCAAACCCAGGTTGAGAACCACTGCTCTAAATTGATGACAAACGTGAATGTGAGTGTGATCTTTGGTCAAATCTGACTGATTTGGATGAAGCCTTGATAGTAAAACTCAACCAAGTGGCCAAACAAAGATGCTTGGAAAATCCTGGATTGGTCAACCAATATTTGTTTTCATGATTCAATACAACATCAAAAATGGTGGATAGCATCAGGATTTTCTTCACACTGAAAATATTTAACAGGTTGACTACAAACTCTTGTGTCTGATGTTGTTGCTATGGTTTACAAGGGAGATTTTTTAAATGAACCCAACCCTTAATTCCTAAATATATTCATAGATATGAATAAAATTATAATCATATAATATAACATATACTTAGACAGTACAGTGACCGCCTCACAGTGCAGAAGTGCAGGGTTCGATTTCAGGCCCCGGCCTTCCAGTGGGAGTTTGCATGTTCTCCCCATGTCTGCTTGGGATTTCTGAGGCTCCTCAGGTTCACACAGTTTCCTGCCACATTCCAAAAAACATGCACTGTAGGTTAAATTGATTACTTTAAATTGTCCCTAGGTGTGGTTGTGAGCGTGAATGGTTGTTTGTCTTTGTAATTGGCTGGCAACCAGTTCAGGGCACACCTTATCTGCTGGGATGGACATTCGTCAGTTCCACAGATTAGCAAAACAATCGTACACTAGATGGGCCTCACATTCTCAGGTCAAATCAAAGAAAGTCCGTCACCAGAAACTTACAGGTACACTCTACAGGCTTGAACCACAATGTTGCCTGGAATTTTCCATCATTTCTACGGGCGCTGTGGATGGGTGATAGGCACGGTCATGGCTGGGGCTGTCCGGATCCGATGATGTGCGTGTTAACCAGCGTTGGACTGAGTATGCCATCCCCCCCAATGACAGATCCTGCCACGGCTGTCAATGGTGATCTGGATGGGGGCTCATGTGGCTGTGGTTGTGTGGCGGTCTCGCACATTAAACGTCCAGTCAAACTCGGCAGGGGAAATGTGTTGGAATATAAATGACGACAACAAAGTGTTGATGGCGACGACGGGGAAAGATGGTTCAGAGGCCTCGGACTCGCTAATTTCTAGTCATCAAATACCCTCAACAATTGCAAGCAAAACCAACACATCTTCTTCACTCTGGATCAAAATTCAATGCCGAGCAAAAGGTGACTGTTGTCGCACAAGCACGGAAAGTGTAAAGCTACATGCTAACAGCGTCACCAATAGAGTCAAAAAGGTGCCAATTCCCGGAATAACAAATCAGAAAGGCAGTGTTTCAGACAGTTAATAATTCCAGATTAATTTGGGATGCAAAGTGTAAAGCGAAAGGCATACGCTGTGCGCATTTAAGCAATTGTGGTGTTAAGTAAAAAAGGGATCAAGTCTATTACCGACTTGATCAATATGAATTTCCTCTACATTTCTGAAACATATCTTAATGAATTCTCATCCTCAGCACGACTATTTGTACCTGGCTCAAATTTTTTTTCCAAATGATAGAGAGGATCGCAAGAAAAGGAAAACGTGTTAGTTCAATTCAGTGTGAGGAAAATCCCAATTCATCCACCATGTTTTAATTTACTAGAACAAATGCTGGTTGACCAATTTTGGATTTCCCACTTTTATTTGTTTTGGTCAAGTGTTATTCACTTTTATTATCGGTACTTTTGTTTAATGATTTATTTAACCTTTATTTAACCAGGAATGTCCCTTTGAGATTAAAAGCCTCTCTTTTCAAAAGAGTCCTGGCCAAGAGGCAGCAAGAAGTGACAGATTCAACACAAAATAACATCCAAACATACAAATCAATCAGGATGTACATACCCATTCACCAGTCTCACTCAGTCTTGGTCAGTGACCCGATTTGTACTTCAGTTCATGCATCTGTTCTCTTTTGCCTGCCTTTAATTTACTAAAATGATTACAAGTGTGACAGCCTAGTTGCTAACAAAGCCACTAAATAAAAGCACTGGTCTTGTAGTATGGCCTCCCGGAAAGAGCATCCGGGCCCATACGGGGCAGCGTGTTCTGATTATCTCCTCCAATCCCAATGAAATTGTCTATTTGAACAGATAGTTGCACTGTAACAGAAACGTAGATGTAGGAAATGAAACACAACAGGTGGTTTTACAAGGAGACAAGAGGTGCCACACACACCAAATGCCTCGCCAACTCAGTTGTCACCCCTACTACTGAATCTATCAATACTAAGTCCCAAATCTTCAAAGCGTTCCTGGTGGGGCGTAAAAGTTTATTCCCCCCCCCCCCCCCACACACACACACACACACGCAAGGGGTGGTGGGGTGCGGCGCAAGCAACTATCCATCCATCTATCCATTCATCTTCTGATCTGCTTATCCTCACAAGGGTCATGGGGAGGTGCTGGAGCCTATCTCAGCCGTCTTTGGACAGTAGGCGGGGGACACCCTCAACCGGTGTCCGGCCAATCGCAGGGAACACAGAGACGAACAACCATCCACACTCACACTCACACCTTGGGACAACTTTGAGTGTTCAATCAGCCTGCCAGGCACGTTTTTGAAATGTGGGAGGAAACCGGAGTACCCGGAGAAAACCCATGCAGGCCCGGGAGAACATGCAGACTCCAGACAGGAAGGCCGGAGCCAGGATCAAACCCACGACATCTGCACTGTGAGGTCGACGCGCTAACCACTTGCCCTAATGCAGTGTTTCTCAAAAAGTGGGGCGCGAGGCTCCATCAAGGGGGTCGCGTTTGACCTCGTCCTCGACCTAGTCCATAAAGTTGGTCCATATTTCTCTCTTTTTTTATTTTCTTATATGTTAATAAGGATACAGTGTTATGCAAAGGTGTACTTATAGCAATTTTATAGACAAATGATACTATTTATAGCCGTGCGAGGGGGGGGGCAAGATGTTTTCCTCTTCCTTGGGGGGGCATGACAGAAAATAATTGAGAACCACTGCCCTAATGTAATATATAATGTTAAAACATAACATTCATGAAATCACATGACACTCGAGAGCTCGTCAGTCAGTAGCCAGCGGAAATTGCATTTAAAGCATTTGTGCCAAAGACAGCACAGCAACATGAAAATCCCCTTTCTTGTTCGAGTCACTGTATGAGGAGGGACACAAAGTCCATATCAGAACTAGATGAAGGTAAATATTTCCAGGCATGATGAAAGAGTCACCTTGGTAACTATATATGTATGTACACACCAATATTTGCTACTTTCGACAGGATTAACTCAACAGAGCGAAAGAAGCTGAACACAACTGACAAACACCACATAGTCTCTGGAAGATGATGAAGCCCTTCAATTTGTCTGTTGCAGTGATCATCATGCTTGCCTTCCTTTTAATTCAGGAGGGTTGCACCATCTCTATTGACAATTGGGTAAGGACAGAAAAAAAAAAACAATTTCTTGTTTGATCCAACTTTTTTCTGAGACATCTTTTCATACTGGACATTGAAATCATAGGAGCCTGACCAGCATATGATGGAAACAAGAGATGACGCAGCTGCTGAGATCCCAGTGGACTTATGGAAGGTATCAGACAGTATTTTGATTTATCAAGCAGGATGAGTGATATTTCCAAACAGTGCTCAAAGTTTGTGTTGTTCACACAGGTGGCAGACAACAAGAGGCAGAAACGTCATAATGGAGCTTGCAAATTTTGCTGCAACTGCTGCGGTCGTACGCATTTCTGTGCCTTTTGCTGCGAATGGTGATTCGAAGAATCATCTGCACTGTCACATCAAAAATATTCCTTTGTTCATTTTTATTCTGCCTAGAAGCAATTTCATTTGTTAGAGTTGAACATGCTTGCATACTTTGTGGTGTGATGCTTAGGACAGACAAAAAAAATCTGAAATGTCTCTTTACACAATAAATGCAGATAAACTGGATGTGACAAAGTGTTGGTTGAGTCATGATTAAAACGCACAAATGGCAAATGCAGTTAAAATAACCTAAAATTAACTCTAAAGTGAACAGGGATCCATTGAAGGGAGGCCAGAATTGGATTTTGTGCTCTGGTCCGAAGGCAACAACAAATTAAACAAAGAAAAAAAAAATTACTTGTGCATATTTGGCAATTATTTTCTCACCATTGTGCGTACGGTGGTGAATAAGAATTCTATTCTAAATGATGGGATAATAACTAAATAATAGTAACAACATAGGGTGTTCGACTGGTTTGTGCGTCCACTCACATCGCAGAGGTCCACGGTTCGATTCCGGGCCCAGCCTTCCTGTGTGAATTTTGCATGTTCTCCCTGTGCCTGCATGGGTTTTCTTCAGTCACTCCAGTTTCCTCCCACCTTCCAAAAACAGGAACACTCGAAATTGTCCCTTGGTGTGATTGTGTTTGTCCACATGAGACCTGTGATTGGCTGGCAACCAGTTCAGGGTGTACCCTGCCTGCTGCCCGAAGACAGCTGAGATCGGCTCCAGCATGCTGGCGACTCGCATGAGGATAAGCGGCTCAGATTATGAATGGATGGATGGAATAAGAACAACAGAAACACGAATGAAATGCAGCACTTTGAATTCTTTATTGACACTAAAACCTCCAAAAAGGGCATGACACTTTGTTTGTGAAGCACAACAATACAAACAAGGGAAGAATAACAGAGGCAAGAATTTACTATCAGACGCTTGGATTTCTGGACCTGTCCAAGACTGAAAATTGGGTTACAGCGGTTGCTGATCTGTTGGCCTCAGATCATGCAACTTTTCACCAATGCCGAAAGGTGGTCAGCCCATTCTGCCTCCAAGCTATAGGCCAAACCCTAGTGCACAAAAGCCAAGTTGCAACTGTGTCCCCAAGACAGAGCAGATGCCAGAGACAGAGAAACCCGCTCCATTTGGCGAAGCAAGGCGCTCAACCGCATGCTGGGTGGGAAGGCTCCAAGAACTGCAGAGCACATAGAGACAAACCATTCACTCTGACATTCATATCCTTGGACAACTTAGCTATACTAACACGTATTTTCCTATACTACAGTAACACACCTTTTTTTGGGGGGGTGCGGGGGGGGCGTATTAGAAGAAACTAGAGTACCTGGAGAAAATCCAACAAATGCGGGGAGAATATACAAACACCATACAGCTGGGCTGGAGCCCGGAATCGAATTACAGACCTACATTGGGAAGAACAAATATTTCATCAACTGCTGAATTTTTTCCACTTACAAAGCAGGTGGAGGTCTGTAATTTGTATCAAAGATACTCTTCAACTATGAGTTACATTATCAAAAACAAAACTCAAGAAAAACACAGTTGATGATTTTTAAATCATTCATTTGCATTTTATTGCCTGACGTAAGGATTTGATCACCGATCAACCAGTAAGAATGTAGGCTCCCACAGACCTGTTTGTTCTTCTTTCAGAAGCCTTCCCGTTCTCCACTCATTACCTGTATTAACTTCACCTGTTTGAACAACTTACCTGAATAAGACACCTGTCTGCACACTGAAATCAAACAAACTCCAACCTCTCCACAATGTCCAAGACCAGAGATCTGTGCAAGGACATCAGCGGTAAAATTGTCCACTTGCAAAAGGCCGGGATGGTCTCCAGGACAATAGGCAAGCCGCTTGGTGTCAAGGCAACAACTGTTGTTGAAATTATCAGAAAATGGAAGAAGTTCAAGACGACGGGCAATCTCCCCCGCTCTGGACCACGATGCAAGATCTCTCCTCGTGGGGCATCAATTATCCTGAGAACGGTGAGGGATGAGCCCAGAAGTACATGGCAGCACCTGGTCAATGACCTGAATCGAGCTCAAGCCACAGTGTCAAAGAAAACCATCAGTAACATGTTCCACCCGTGATGGAATAAAATCCTGTAGTTGCACGCAAGGTCCCCCAACTCAAGCAGGCGGTTGTCAAGACCTGTCTGAAGTTTACCAGTGACCATCTGGATGATCCAGAGGAGGAATGGGAGAAGGTCATGTGCTCTGAAAAGAAAAAAAAGTGGAGCTTGGCCATGTTTAGAGGAGGAGGAAGGATGAGTACAACCCCAAGAAAACCATCCCAACTGTGAAGTATGGAGGTGGAAACATCATTCTTTGGGGGGACTTTTCTGCAAAGGGGATGCAACGACTGCACCGTATTGAGGGGAGGATGAATGAGGCCGTGTATCATGAGAACTTGGCCAACAAGCACTTTGTATGCAGCGATGGCTGTTTGAAAAATCGATTCTGATCTTCTGGAGGTTCGTTTTAAATTCTGTCCCTCATACTTGAAGAGTACCTTTCAAACGAATTACAGACCTTGACCTACTTTGTAAGTGGGAAAACTTCAAAAATCAGTTCTCTCCACTGTAAGGACTACGAGGTTGATATGCTAAGTGCTGGTCCACCATCCGAGCCAAATGTAAAATACAATATTAAAACATAACACACACATAAAACCTTTTGATCAAGTCACATTCGAGAGCTCGTCAGTCGGTAGGTAGCGGAAATTGCATTTACTACATTTGTGCCAAAGACAGCACAGCAACACGAAAAATCCCCTTTCTTGTTCCAGCCACCATTTGAGGAGGGACACAAAGTCCATATCAGAAGTACATGAATAAGTTAAATATTGCCCGGCATGATGAAAGAGTCACCTTGGTAACTATATATATATACACACCAGTCGTTGCTACTTTTGACAGGATTCACTGAACAGAGCGAAAGAAGCTGAACACAATCGACAAACACCGCATACTCTCTGGAAGATGATGAAGCCCTTCAATTTGTCTGTTGCAGTGATCATCATGCTTGCCTTCCTTTTTATTCAGGAGGGTTCCACCATCTCTCTTGACAATAGGGTAAGCACATGAAATAAATAATTTTTTGTTTGTTTCTTTTCGGAGACATCTTTTCATACTGGACATTGAAATCATAGGAGCCTGACCAGCATATGATGGAAACAAGAGATGACGCAGCTGCTGAGATCCCAGTGGACTTATGGAAGGTATCAGACAGTATTTTGATTTATCAAGCAGGATGAGTGATATTTCCAAACAGTGCTCAAAGTTTGTGTTGTTCACACAGGCGGCAGACAACAAGAGGCAGAAACGCCATAGTGGACCTTGCAAATTTTGCTGCAACTGCTGCGGTCATATGAATTTCTGTGGCTTTTGCTGCGAATGGAGATTCTAAGAATCATCTGGATTGTCACATCAATCAAAATTATTCCTTTGATAAATTTTGCTTGGCGTGTAAGCAATTGCATTTGGTAGAATTCAAAATATGCTTACATAGTGGTGTGACACTGATGACAGATAAAAAAAAAATCTGAAATGTCTCTTTACACAATAAAGACCGAAAAACAACATGCATCAAAGTGTTGGTTGAGTCATGATTAAAATGCACAAATGACATCCATTCATTTTTTGCTGATCTCATTAGTTTGTGACTGGAGAACAGACATTTGTTAGGTCAACATGGCTGATATCATAATGTTTAGTGATTGGACCAAGATGTCCAAATCTCAACTCAACTTTATTGAGAGAAGACTTGAAAAACAACCATTGCTGCATTCAAAGTGCTGTACATAAAGTAAAAATTAGAACTTTGAAAATGAAGACAGTTAAAGCCATACATTTGTAAACAAGAAGAGAGTACGGTAAATTCAAAAACAAAGTCTCATGTTGAGTCGCATGCCAAAGAATGAAAATGTGTTTCAAAAGGAATTTTACAAATGGACAGAGAGCGGACTTGCCAAATATTTAGTGGAAGGTCATTCCTAAGAGAGGGACTGGCAACTGAAAATGCCTGATTCCCTCAGAATCTCTGCTTACTCCTTGGTACCTCCAAGAACATCAGAGAGTTAAGGTGGGGTGAGATCATCTCAAGATTTAAATAGTTAAAGAATCTAAAAATTAACTCCAGAGTGAACAGGGATCTAATGAAAGGAGGCCCAAATTTGAGCTTTGTGCTCCGGTCATTCATCCTTCAATCCATTCATTCATCCGTCCAATATATGATCCACTTATCCTCACAAGGGTTGCGAGCGTGCTGGAGCCTATCCCAGTCGTCTTCAGGCAGTAAGTGGGGGATACTCTGAATTAGTTGCCAGCCAATCGCAGGGCACACATAGACAAACAACCATTCGCGCTCACAATCGACCACCGTGCCACCCTTGCTCTGGTCATCAGGAAAAATACAAAATCAATTCAAAGCAAAGGAAAAAAACGTTATTACTTTTGCACACTGGCCAATTTTCTTATCACCATTGTGTGTATGGTAGTCAATAAGAATCAATTCGAAATGATGGGCTTATACAGGGGTGGGCAAAGCTTTTGGCTCGAGGGCCACATTGATTTCTCAAATTTGACAGGTGGGCAGTGTCAGCACAAGATAGGGTACATGTAAAAAACTGCATATGTTGACAGTCCATACCAAACAGCAACAGAACAAAAGCATTTTCAAAAAGTTAAAGATACTTTTTTAATGAGAACAGTGAAGCAACTATGGTATATATGTCCCGTATGAACGTCCAAGTATGTTAACAACATACATGTGTGACAACACAAGCAACAAAGTGCAACAATATATTGCCCAAAAACTGTTTCGAACAAAAAAAAAAAACTGCATACAGTACAGGTACAGTATATATATAAAAAATAAATAAAATATAATAAAAAATATACAAAATATAACAAAGTTAGGACGAGTAAGACGAGTAAGAGACCTGGTGGCTTCTGTTTCCACTCACTCACTGTCTTGAACTTTACCTCCCATCGATCACCACACATGACAGCATTGCTCAGCTGATGTCGTGCAATGAACTTTTGAAGCCAGCCACGGGACCCTTCGAAGTCTTCGATGCTCATAGTTAGCGCTGAGGAACTTGCCTCCTCTCTTATTAGTGGTCCAGTTTGCGGAAAGTTTTTTA